AAAATATGAGTGTGTACCTGAATTTGGGCAAAAATCAACCTAAAATACTTTGTTTCCGCAATTTTATTTATTAGTTCCCGCCCTACATTTGAATTCAAACTTGTCCCGATTTCGCCGCCAATCCTCTAGCCAATAGTAGAGGTGATTGAAAAGAAGCTCTAGAAGCTTCATTTTTTGCTTTTAGTGCTCCGTCTTTATGTCTTTGGCCCTACTATACTAGAGCTCTAGTGGCAAATCGAAATCAAAAAGCGCCGCCTATCGGCTGAGCGCTTAAAACTGCTAGTTGTAGAGCAGATTTTAGAGCCAGGTTTCAAATACCTTCATCTGTCAATAGAACATGAGAACACACTTTTTATAATGCTTCAGTGCAGGGAGAAAATCTAATTTAGACAACTACTGTCCCTGCCTAGTTTTGGAACAAACAGCAAAAGACCACAGTCTTCAGCAGTTAGAAGCAGCGGATGAAGTTAGTGGCCAAAACGGCATGTACCCCGTGTAGACAGGGATTCAGGGATGCTTAATTGGTGTTCAGCAGCACGCAAGTAGGCTCGGTCCCTGCCTCCTAGCCTCTACATCCCTCCACCTGAGGGATCAGCAGTTCTTCTGAGATACTCGGTCAATTGTATTTATCTGTTAAAGAACCAACTGACGGCTCATTCTTGAAGTACTCCACTCAGAATATTTAAAAAGATGGCATCCATAGAATTTGAGAAATTTAGGAGCATAAGGTTTCAAGCAAATAAAAAGTGGAAGTGGAGAAATCTGACTTTGGGCGCCCTGAAAGAGGGTCTGAATGCATTAATTCTTTCCTTGGTTTAGTTTGAGCTGGAACGAGACTCTCAACTCGAAAAAGAAAGGGGATACCCATGAGGGTGGAACATCGCCTAGCGATGTTTCACACCACAGGGAAGACTGAAAAAACAAGAAAAAGTGAAGTTGGGCTGGCTTTCGTGGCCTGCCGGTCACCACAACTCACATCTTAAATGGGGGGAAACACTAAGTTGCCACCCAAAAGGGTGGCTTTCTAGAAAGATACTCACATTTTTAACACAGTGAATACGCGACGCGCAGGAGAAAAAAAGGGACGCTCTGAGAGAAGACTAAGACTGGTTGTAGTTCCGACCGCCTCCGCCAGGGTACGGGCTGAGGTGGTCGGGGCTACAACCGGTCGGAGTTTGAATTTGGGGCGGGAAAAGTTTGCTGCCGGTAAAACGCTACAAGTTAACCGCTCTTTTGCTTTTACCAGCCACAATTTGAAAGGAACATTAATATCTTCGTTTGTCACTTTATGAGAGAATCTGACTGCCTCTGAAATTTTCAGAACAAAAAATGAAAATTACAATCTTCTGTTGAATTAAGAAATTCTAGAGGAAAAAAAAACGATGTGACAAGATATTCATACATGATTCAAGGAAAAATTCAAATCCAGTACCAAAGCAGAGTTTTTGATAGGAGGAATTTCTTTGGGGCTTGGAATATTACATAAAAGTTACAGTTACAGCATAACTCCAGAGGTGTGAAAACTCCTCGACTGCTCAGCCCGTCCGTTCAAGGTCAGTGGCATGCGGAAATGGGAAGGCTTCGAAAAGGAAATTTTGAAAATGGGAAGACCTGTAAGGTCGCAAGCTTTCTGCTAAACTGAGGTTGAAATGACTGAATTTTTATTCAAAATTGTAGCAAATTTTACACACAGAACCTTAATAAGGTCATCACTTGGAAATTTCTAAGGAAAGAGGCATTATCAAATGGGAGAGCCGAGAACTGTGTCCTTTCGTAACACTTTTGTGAGTCCCATTGTCACATTTAATGAGCATTAATAATTGATCACCTTGTAAAACAGTGATGAACATGGGGTAATCTGCTAAGGCAGATTTGCCCTCTTTTCGTCCAGTCCATGAATACTGTAATGCCAGGTTATCGGTCATAATCTGCTTGGCTATTTTTCGAACTGAGTCGCCAAGGGACTTAGTATTCATCTTGCTGAAATATGAAATCTAGAACAAAAAGTAACACAAATGTTGATGCATAATATACATCTGTTCATTTATGGTTCTGGCAGCCTTGAGACTGAAAAATGAAAAAGTTCAAAGAGACTAACGTTTCGATTATTAGAGTCCTATTCTAAAATAGATGGATTCACAGAATTTGTAACAGACTTTAGAGGGTCTATTAGAGAGAACGCTATTTTGGAACTAAGTTTCTTTCCTTGTCTTAAAAATTACAACAGTCAATCTCTGATTTTCAAGATTAGTGAATTCTGTGCTGTTTATGTTTTCCAATATTTTAAATAAAATTTGAGTTCTTCGAGATATACTGTAGCTTTTTCCAAAAATAGGTTTCTCTCTCTTACCGATTTAAAAACTTAGAAGGTGAGAAAAGGTCAATAGTTCAAGAACTTACGCATTTTTTGCGTAGATCAGGATCTAAAAGATCGTCTTCTTGAAGTTTAAGTTCATCGGTTGATTTTACTGGAAACCGCAGTTTCACTTCATCACTATGGTTACATGTGTCGGTAATCACCATACTTGACACTTTCAGTTGAAGATCCTTTAGAACTTCGCAACTATCATCAACAGCTAACTTAACACGTGTGAGTTTCTTGTTGCAACGTTGTGTAGCACCAGTTGCGAAGTCGATTTTTTCTAAAACTTTGTCTAGTTTACCTGCATCATAATAAACATAAGTGTTCAGTTAATTGCATCCATCTCAAAGGACTTCGAAAAGTTACAAAAGAACAAGTCAAGAAATTATACTCGTTCTTTTTCCACGAAATCCTTGAAGTTATGTTTTCAGAAGTTGTAATTCTTAAATTATGAGATTTCACAAGTTTAAAGGGAAATGTTTCAGACAGTTTCCTGATTCTTCAAGAACAGATCAACAATTTGCCGCTAGCCTTCACTAAAAATTTACTGAGAATTGGTTTCATTTCTTACAGAATGCCTAGTTCATAACTTTATATGAAATTGTTAGCAACAATTATTAAAACGAAAAAAATTATTATTCAATTGAGAATCTAATTCATAAGAATTCAGGAAAGTTGAGTACATAGATCTAGTTCAAATATACTGTTAGGGCAAGGGAGTTAGATCGGTTTAAGGTCGGTTAGATCGACTCCCGCGCTATGGGGGGAGGTTAGGTCAGGTTAGGCTCCAGTTAGGCCGATCGTTCCTCTTGAAAATCTTAGAAATCGAGCCCCGGCTTGAAATCGAGCGACCTACGGTTTTTTCCCCCCACTGAAAGGACGATTTTTCTCTTATTTTCCCGAAATTTTTGGGACATAGTCGGGGAACTTCCCGAAAAATGGCAGATTTGACGGCCAAGGAGTGGCCGGACGGGGAAATCGATAAGGACCAAAAATGTCAGGCTGGAAAAGACGCACGGGATGGCGGAGGTCCGGTGGCGATCGGAGCGGTTGGTCGGCCGGCAGAGTCGAAAAACGGAGCCGGAAAGGGGAAATTCAATTTTTTTTTTTTTTTTTTTTTTAAATTTTTCTTCCGCCCACAAAAGTGAGGCTCGTAATCGTTTTTCGCTCTTCCTCATCCCGTTTGTCCGTCGTTGGATGGAAACGAAGAAACCGATGCGCTTCGGATTCCTCGAGTTAGGCCGATCGTTCCTCATGAAAATCGTAGTAATTGAGCCCCGGCTTGAAATCGTGGGAACTGCGGTTTTTCCCCCTTACTGAAATGATAATTATGCATACTTACACCGAAATCATGCAGGTGACGATCCTCCGCCGTCGCTCTTTCTGGTGGACGTCCTCGGTGATAGAATGGAATCTTCGATTTTAAAATAAATATCCTTGCCTCTGGAACAATTTCGGCTTTTTAGGAGAATACTGTTCCAAAGTTACACTCGCGGATTTACCAAAAGTACCGAGAATTCGAAAATCATTGACCACATTTCGAAAGACAGTTTTCATGCTTCCTGAAAGGAAGGAGCCTCCTCTAAGATGAACCCGTGCGCTTCTATGTCGTTTTATCTCATTCGCTCCACTTCCTTTTCCTGTTTTCGTCGAAAGTGACTCTTCACATGGGAAACGCGTATTATTCTATCGATAAAACAAGGAGCTGAGCAATGAGACACACGGCGATGAAAGCGGATTCTTCACTTTTTGAAAATTTTAACTTGGGCAAAAATCCGCTTTCATCAGTTTGCGTCTCATTTCCAAGCCCCTTGTCGGGCCTCTGAAATTATCATTTCCTATACCGCACATGACTCCTGCCGTGCCAAGGAAGAACGCCGTAAGGGCCCTCGACCGTTGCCAAATCTCACCGGTGCAATAAGAAATTTAAGGGACATTAGCTGGCATATTAATTCCAAGTTTTCGCAGGATTTCATCCGCATTGATATGGAAGGCGTTCGAAACTTGAAACGAAGGATAATCAAACATTTCCTCCGAAACGAATGTTAAATCACGAGAAATGTGGCAACCTTCGAATTCTAAAACGGCGTTCCTCTTCAGCGCGGCATCGTAGAAGAGAAAGGAAGTGAAAATGAGTACTTTTACAGGGTTATATTACATGGCAATATTGTCTTCTTAACCTTAGTCTGCCTGAGCCTCTGAACCAACGAGAAAGACTGAGCGGGGTCAATTTGACCCCAGCTGAAAATCAATTAGTTAGCTATGTTTTTTTCATGTTTTTAGTTAATATCAGTGCACTAACCTTACAGGCCTTAACCATAAAGCATATCTAAGTTTTAGAAAACACGGCGCAGGGTATGCAACCATTTTATCATACACGTGTTGCCATGTTGTTCTCAGCCTGAGAAAAAAAAAAATCATAGGGCTACTGAATACCGTCAGTTGGTCTAACATGAGCCGGTTTTTGACTTTGAGGCTTTGCATTTTTGCAGTAAATTTTTTTTTCATGCAACCAATTTTTGTTGTAGATCAGTCCCACATAGAAGAGTAAGAATAGCCCATTGAAAAAATTTTCCAGCAAACTTAGTATTTTTTTTTTAAAAAAAATTGAGGTGGCTCATGTTACCTGCAAGGTGGGGTAACATGAGCCACCCTATTGTTTTTAATTTAAAGGCACATGTAAGCCTACTTTAGGCTTACATGAGCCTCCCAAAAGTTTTTTAAAAAAAATTGAGTTACAAAACATTAAAAACCAGGCTAAAAACGAACAAAATTTTAATTTTCCTACAATTTACGTCAAATTTCAGGCGAACAAATACATTTAACATCTAAAACCTTGTATCTAACAGGAAATCATTTAACGATCAATAGCACTAAGTTACTTTAAAGGCACACCGACAAGACAAATGGGACCTAAAGTCAAGAGAGATTAGTCAAAGTTTCTTAAAAAGTATATATATAGTAGTATTTTGGACTACGTTAGATTCACTTTTATTTATAGTAGTATATATATAAGTATAGAATTAATATTGACTTTAATTTTTATTTTTGGAACTTTTTGGCTTTGTTTTCCCCGCAAAATGGTGTGGACTCAGCACCATTTCTTCACCTTGTTCCATACAGTTCGGGCCACTTCTTAGTGTTTTTTTCTTTTTTTTTCTTATATAAGTATATATAGTATACAAGTCTTAAAAAGACGAACAGTAAATATGGAAGATACGTGAAGGAGTTGATTTATGCTCTAAAGGAATGCCAATTTTACTAAGAATGTATCATGAAAACCATTACTGTATAGATTGTTCCTGGAGGACTTGCGAAAATTGGGTGGCTCAAGTTACCTCCAACATTCCAAAATTTTGGTTTTTCCAAAAAAAATCGGTCAAAAACTAAAATGTTCAAAATCCAATGCATGGGCATGAAAGTTGGAGGTATTTGTGAGGTTCGGCGACCGGCGAAATTATTCTGTGATTATCGATAGTCACTTTTCAAGAAGGTTAGTTTCAGAGGTAGAAAAAGGGGCAAAAATTTCTAAAAACTAAATAATTTATAAAAATTTCTTATCGATGGAAAAATGTGTCTCTATACCATTGAAATTCCGCCAAGACACGCCACTATCACATCATGTTGTTGTTTTCGTTGTTTACTTTCGCAACAGTGCTGCCACAGGCAAGAGAAAAAAAAATCCCCAAACGGCTCATGTTACCCCCGAGGCTCATGTTAGACCAACTGACGGTACTGAAAACGAAAAAAATCTGAAAAATTTTGCTTGTTTTATAAGTTTCTGGAAAAAATTAAAAATAGAAAAATGAATACACCTTCAAAGTAAGCTTTTGTGATGCTAAATGGTAAAATATATGTTATAAAGACATTTGACCCCGCTCGGGCTTTCCAGGGGTACTCGTGAATTTTTTGATCTCTCATGCACAATTTTTTTTTCTTTTTTTCTTTTTTTCCCTTCAAAATCGTGTTACTAGATGTTTTTGTAGAGCAATTTTTGAAGGACTAAAAATTTCGCGCATACCACGAGAAATGGCAAAGAGTTGAAACTCCCGTGGGGTCAATCTGACCTCACTCAGGCAGACTAGGATTAACTAATATTCGACCCCAGCAAACGTTCAAATTCATGCTTGGCCTGCGAGCATGTTCGTAGGACCTTACGTCTCGTTCATTTGAAAATTCGAAAATATTAATCAACTGCAAAGAATTCAGCCTCTGCAGGTTTCTGCCCCCCTCGTAAATTAAAATCCTGCTGGCCCCTCGAAACTCAATCGAACCTTTAATTTTTTTAATTTTTATTTTCAAAATTTCTTTTCCTTTCTTTGTTTTGTTTTGTTTTTTTTTTCTACTTTTATTTTACACCTTCGCCGCTTCAGGCATCGTAGGAGAGAAAGCAAGAGAAAATTATCACATCTATACACTTATATTATATGGGAAAATGTTACAAACTTGGATGAAACTTATTCACTAAAATTTTTACAACGCTGTACAAAATAAACAATAGTCTTACTCTACATCGGCACTGCTTTCCACGATCTGTACATCATTTTTCACACTGTTCTTACTCTACTTTCACACTATGCTTTACGACAAATAATTACATTTATACAGTTATATTACATGGGAGCATCTTACAAATTTGGATCAAACTTATTCACTAAAATTTTTACAACGCTGTACAAAATAAACAATACTCTTACTCTAAATCGGCACTGCTTTACAAGATATATACATCACTTTTTACACTGTTTATACACTATTTTAACACTATTTTTACACTATTTTTACACTATTTTTACACGGTTTTTACATGGACTCTACACCCTCCTAGGAATGCAGGAGGGTGTAGATCCTCGTCTTCATCGAGGAAGCGGTCCTCCCCGGCAGACCGAGGCCCGCACGAACGGCGGCCTCCACTTGCGCGAGGGTCGGCAGCCGCCGCTCCCGAAAGTGGTCGGAGAAGAGAGACGCCAACGCCTCATCTTCCTCGGCGGACCATCTCCTGGCCACTCGCGGAAACGGCAGCGTCGGCACGGATGCCTCGCTCGCGCAGGGAGGAGGGCTCCGCCGTTCGGGCTGGTCCTCTGCCACCGGCGGCTCCTGCCGGGTCGCCGCCTCCTCGGGAGGCCGGTTCCCGTATGTGACGCGGTACACGCTCTCCCCGAGGTGCTCCGCGTGGAAGCCGCGGTCGCGCCTCTCCTGCCGCCGCGACTCCTCAGCCAAGCGAGTCTCCTCGGCGGCGTAGCGGGCGAAATCAAGGATCCTCTGCATCTCGTCGAGGGACAACCTTGGTTGAGGAGTCGGCGGCTGAGAGGCGAGGGGCCGATGCGGCTCCGACGACGTTCCGGCACGGAGGTCGGGGCGAGCGTGTATGTCGTAGAGTTGCTCGCTGCTGGTGACCGGAGCCGCCGACACGTACGCTCGCTCGTGGACCGCCTCGGAGTGGTCGAGGTGGCGGCGGATCGCCGCGGCGTCGCGCGGGTCCGACGAGCGAGCGGCGAGCGTAGCGAGCCTAGCGCGGAAGGCCCGCGTTGTCAGCAGCTCCGGTCGCCGAGCGTCTGGGAGTCGGGGGCGGAACCGCCGGAGGATCGTTGGCAGGTCGAAGGGCCGAGCGGAATCCGGCCTCGGGAACAGGAGCTCGTTCGTCGCGCTCTTCGACATCCCCGGAGGCACGACCCTCTTGAGGCCGTCGCCCAAGTCGAGGCCTTTCTTTGGATCGGGGATGCCGAGGAGACGGCGGCTCCTGATGACGAGGCGGATCGCCGGCCCCAGCCCGTTCGGGACGATGACGGCAACGGGCCTAGAGTTCTTCGTGCCCGGGGCCAGGAAGAATTCGGGTCGCCGATCTGCGTGGCCGTCATCGTCCTCCGCGGGCTTCACTCCGACGGCCCGGTCGAGGAGGGGGACGACCCGGAGTGCCGACTCCTGCTCTTGCGCCGACGGCCGGGCCAGGTAGCACCGGAGAGGCGCTCCGGCTACCTCCGAGGCCCGTCTGCCGTTGTACACGGTGAGGACGGCGAGCAGAGCTTCGGAGAGCCCTTTGAAGTTGGAAGTCGACGAGACGGCCTGGAGCCTCCGCGCGTAAGCTTGGAGGGTCTCCCAGGCGGTGCGGAAGAGGGCGCGGACGTCCGAGTCGTCAGGGAGGGACCGCGGTGACTCGCACCAACGCCGCAGCTCGCAAGCCTTCGCGTGGTTGGCGATGTCGATCAGCCAGCGAGTCGCCAGTAGGCGGCAGAACCGGGCGCACTCCTCCTCGACGCGGCGCCGGTCTTCTTCGCCGATGACGGCGGAGACGCTGGCCTCCTCGGCCCGCATGTCGCACGCGTCGCGGAGGAGGGAGCGCATACGGCGGTCCATCCCGACGACCCGGACGTCGCGCGTTGCCGGGTCGAACCCGCTGAGCCTCTGAACGGCGGCGACGACAGAGGGGTAGTTTTCCGGCCTGACGCAATCCTCGAGGGTGCCAACGTTCGGGTCCCGCTGGCGGACGGCGGCGACGAGCCTGGAGGCGTCTCGGAACTTTGCGCGAGATCCGTCGTCAGCCCTGGCGCCGCAGTGGCCGTCCCGGTAGCGCCCGGCCAGCCTCACGGCGAAGGTGTCTGAAAGACCGGCGTTTGTGTCGTCGTCTCGTTTCCTGCACGTTTTCCGGAGAAATTCCGCGTTGTCGTGGAGTCGTTGCTCTGTCTGGCACCGCGCCTTATGCCCCTGGTATTCCGCGGCGCTGAACCACCAACTGCATATTTTGCAAAGAACGGGCGGTGGCGATGACGGTCGTGGCGATGGCGATGGCGATGGCGATGGCGATGGCGATGGCGATGGCGATGGCGGTGGTGGCGATGGCGATGACAGTGGCGGCGATGATGGTGGTGATGGCGGTGATGGTGATGGCGGTGGCGGTGGTGACTGAGGCGGAGCACCACTGCAGCCGGAGGTGGATGGTTGCTCCCACATTCCTGCAACATGGAAGGCGGACGGAGTCAGCGGATATAGGATGATAAGATTTCGGATTTTGACCTCGAGGAGTACAAAATATGGCTCAATTCGATCAAATCGTGCGCTACGAGGACTGGAGATGGGGGAGGTCGAAAGTTGGATTTAATTTTTTTCCTTTCATTTTTTCCGTATTTTTTAATTTTTTATTTTTTTTTTTTTATTTTTTTTTTCGCTTATTTTATTTTCTACCCTCCGTACCGAGTAGCTCTCGCCAGGAGGAGCAGAAAAGGTGAGAGAAAAATAGAGTTTTTCCGTCCGACGCATTTTTCGGGGGCTATCGATTTTTTTTTGTTTTTTTTTTTTCGGGATTTTTCCGAAAAATGGCCGATTTGACGGCTAAGGAGTGGCCGGACGGGGAAATCGATAAGGACCGAAAATGTCGGGCGTGAAAAGACGCATAGGATGGCGGAGGTCCGGTGGCGATCGGAGCGGTCGGTCGGCCGGGAGAGTCGAAAAACGGAGCCGGAAAGGGGAAATTCGATTTTTTTTCCCCTCCGTTTTGACGGGGTTGCAGCGGGGGCCACCGATGGTCCAGGAAGGAGAAGCGGACGGTTCCCTACGTAAAAAGATGCGTACTTTCGATTGCGATAGGTGGCGAGGCGCGGAAAGGGGTTTTGAGGGCGGTTTCGGCGGTGGGAAGTGGGTGACTTATCGTTCGGAGGACTTTCGGAGTTGTCAACTTGGACGAGGCCGTAGGGGCTTTTGCGGTGGTCTGAGGAGGGCGGTCCCATTTGAGTTTTTTTAGGGGACCGGTAGGGGTATCCAGCGGGCCCGGAGCCGAAGGGCTGGGAGGCGTTCCTTATTTGGAAAAAACTTCGGGCGCGAATTTACGGCGCTGTAATTGCCCTGGAGGGCACTTTGCGAGGTAGTCGACTTCGGGAGCGGTTTGCGATGGGAGGAGGGGTGGGGAGGCGGAAGATTCGGCCCTGGGAGGGTAGGGGGGACCCTTGGGAAGGTATCTAGAGGTCGCGGAAGGATTTTGAAAAGCTGGCGTGGTGTAGCGGTGAGTTTGAAAAAAAAGTGTAACTTTTGATAGAGTGGTCGGAGGGAGCCGAAACTGTGCCAGGTTGTAGGGGAGGTCAAACTATTGAAAAATTTTGTGGACTTGGATTGAAATTTTTTTTTTTTTTTTTTTTTTTTTCTTAAAGATAGTGGTTATTATGTGTCTGTGAGTGGATCACTCGAGGTGGACGTGGCCTTAGAGTGGTCCGGAGTGACGTAGCGGGTGCGGGGTGGACGCCGGAGTAGCGCGCGGGTGGCGGGAGAGGTGTAGGTAGGTTTTCGGGGGGTTGGAAAAGTGAATTTTTCATTTTTTTTCAGTTTGCGGAGGGCTAAGTATGAGGTAGTAAAAGGTTTTCGGGGAAGGCTTGCCGCGGCATTCGCGATACACGGGCGCGGGCGCCCTAAGTGGGCGCGGGCGCAAGGTGGGGAAGGTAAGATGGAGGGCGAGGGCGGAGGGGACGGTCCCCGGACGGGGGAGTCTGCGGGAGGATCCTCTCGGTAGGACTTGTGCGCGAAATTCGGTAATCGGACGTTTTTTGTCAGTTTTTAAGCGTAGATTATGCTAGGCAGCGTTTAATTAATGATATTCCAGGAAATTTGGCAACGCCGCACCCGATCGCCGATATCCCCGGAGCCCCTTCGAGGCTCCTCTCGTTAGGACTTGTGCGCGAAACTCGGTGATCGGGGTTTATTTAGGGATTCCAAAGGATACTCTGCAACAACGCAGCGTTTAATTACGCATTTTCCCGGAAATTTGGCAACGGCGCGGACTGTTGGCGGAGCCCCGTCGAGGCTCCACTCGTTAGGACGTGTGCGCGAAATTCGGTAATCGGGAGTTTAGTTCAGTATTTTAGCGTAGATAATGCAACGCGGCGTTTTATCAGCGATTTTAGAGGAAAATTTGGCAACGTCGCATATAATCCGCGATCTCCCCCGGCTCGCGTCGAGGATCCTCTCCTTAGGACTTGTGCGCGAAATTCGGTCATCGGGGGTTTTTTCCAGTCTTTTGGAGTAAATTATGCAACGCAGCGTTTAAGCACGCATTTTCGAGTAAATTTGGCAACGTCGCGTTTAATTAGGGATTTTGCAGGAAATTTGACAACGCCGCATCCAATCCGCGATCTCCCCGGGCTCCCGTCGAGGATCCTCTCGTTAGGACTTGTGCGCGAAATTCGGTAATCGGGGGTTTTTTCCAGTCTTTTAGAGTAAATTATGCAACGCAGCGTTTAAGCACGCATTTTCCAGTAAATTTGGCAACGTCGCGTCTGAAAATGGATTTTGCAGGAAATTCGGCAACGCCGCATTTAAACTCGGATTTCCCCGGAGTCCCTTCGAGGATCACCTCGCTAGGAGGTGTGCGCGAATTTCGGTTTTTGGGCGTTTATTTTAGTATTATAGCGCACATTGTGCAACACAGCGTTTATTTAGGGATATTCGAGGAAATTTGGCAACGCCGCGCTTAAATTAGGGCATTCCCCCGAAATTTGGCAACGTCCTCAAAGACGAACCGAGGTACATAAGCTATTTAATAATGTATATGTATAAGCCAGAATCAAAGATGTTGCCAATATTCAAAGGGCATTCTACAAAGCCTCAGTGCAGCCTGAGTTTGTCAAACCAAGGTAGATAGGCTATTTAAATATGCATATATAACCTAGCGTCGTTAATGCTGCCTTTATCCAGAGGCATTCTAAATAGCCTATGTGCAGCCTGAGTTTGTCAAACCGAGGTAGATAGGCTATTTAATAATATTATATATGTATATAAGCCAGCATCTAAGATGTCGCCTATATTCAAGGGGAATTCCAAAAAGCCTAAGTGCAGCCTGAGTTTGCCAAACCGAGGGAGATATGCTATTTCGTAATATATATATATATATATATATATACATATATTTACATGACCCGACATCATCGATATTGCCTATATTTTAGGGGCATTCTAATAATCCTAGGTGCAGCCTCAAAATTACAAACCGAGGTAGATACGCTATTTCGTAATATACATATACATATATTTACATGACCCGATATCATCGATATTGCCTATATTTTAGGGTCATTCTAAAAAGACTTAAAGCAGCCTCAGTTTGACAAACCGAGGTAGATAAGCTATTTCGTGATATATATATACACATATATTTACATGACCCGACATAATCGATATTGCCTATATTTCAGGAGCATTCTAAAAGCCTAAGTGCAGCCTCAGTTTGACAAACCGAGGTAGATAGGCTATTTTTTGATAAATATATACATATATATTTATTAGCCGACATCTAAGATGTTGCCTATATTTTAGAGGCATTCTAAATAGGCTAAGTGCAGCCTGAGTTTGTCAAACCGTGGTAAATAAGCTATTTTATAATAAATATATACATACAATATGTGACCTGACATCATCGATGTTGCCTATATTTTAGGGGCATTCTAAATAGGCTAAGTGCACCCTGAGTTTGTCAAACCGAGGTAGATAAGCTATTCCGTAATATATATATATACATATATATTTATTAGCCGAAATCTAAGATGTTGCCTATATTTTAGGGGCATTCTAAAAAGCCTAAGTGCAGCCTCAGTTTGTCAAACCGAGGTAGATATGCATATATATATATATATATATTGTACAACCGTTAGTAGATAGTTAGTTAGTTCTAGTTAAAAGCTACCTCAGCGCACTAGAGCGCTCTGCGACTCCAAATCGCCATCGGAATCGATCCTCCCACAAATCATCGGGCAGATTACACCGTCTGATCTCCCCCTCCACTCCCTCCCGCCAACCTTTTACTGGACGCCCACGCCGCCTTCTTCCGGGAGGAACCCAATCAAATACCTTTCTGGGCAACCTACTATCCGCACGTGTCCATACCAAACCAGCTGCCTGGTTTTGATATCGTGCACAATATCTTCCTCAACTCCCATTATTCCACGCACTCGTTCATTAGGAACGCGCTCTCTCCGCAAGATCCCTGCAGACCTTCGTCAAAAATCCGTTTCGGTTGCCCGTAAGATATCCTCAGATCTTTTGTTTAATTGCCAGACCTCACTCCCGTACGTAATTATGCTCTTCACGATGGCGCTGTAAATTATTTGGCGCTTATTTGTCTATCAATTTCATAAAAATTAGCCGCTAGCCTAGACGGCGATCCTCTAATCTTCCACTTCAAAGAAGAGCGTCGCATATTAGCCTCCATAGAAGTTGCCGAACTCACATTGATGAACTACGAATTTTCAGCTAGGGAAACTTGTGAATATTTCCTTTCAAATTCAGATATTTTTATTCGCAATTTTATCGGAAAATTTCAAGAGAAAATATTCACCAGTATCCTCGAAAACACACAATTTACCGGGAAAGCCTTGGCAACGTTCGAATATTATCGCGTGTTTCCTCAGCACACCAGTATTCGATGGACGCCATATTTTGTGTCAAAACGACATGCGATTTATCGCAATCCATATACATTTCCGTATATTCCATTTTTTCGGCTACCTACTACCTACTCGTCATTTTTCTCGAATTTTGAGATCGCAATTCTGTCGTTAGGAGACTGAAGAATTCACTTGCCCATTTTGAAAAAACTAATTCATCGTAATATAGGCGTGGTTTTTTTAGAGAATGCATTCGCACTTGAGTGCATATTAGTATATCGCAATCTAGTGCAATATTGCATTCGAGTGCAGTTTCGATATCAGTATCGAATGCGATATTTTTCCTCTAAAAAAACCACGCCTCTATTCTATTGGTTTATTACTATTAAATTGGTTTGTCAAAATTGGTGCCTAAGTGAATTCTTTAGTCTCCTGACAAAAGAATTGCGATCTCAAAATTCGATAAAAATGACAAGTAGCTGAGAAAAAAGAACCAATCGATTCGATGTATCGCATGTGGTTCTGACACAAAATACAGCGTCTATCGAATCACCGTAAAGAAGAGCGTTGCATATTAGCCCCCAAAAGTT